TCATTCTCCGCACTAAGCTACGAAGTCGTCAAAGAGATAAGTGAAGTCGATCCCTCTACAAACGTTTTGCCGAAAACGATTACACTATTGCTCTCAGCGTAGGACTTCTTTCTAAACACTTTCTACTTGAGCGTCCCACTAGAGCGAATGACTTCAACTTCCAGGAACGGTAACCGCTCACATTCCTCTACTTCCATCGTGAATTGAATTTATTCATGGACTAGGCTAAAGGATGCCCTTAAGGTTTGCATAAGTAATGGTGAAATGGAGAAGTGGAAAATGGATTTACTACTCCACAGAGATGCAAGGGCCCCCACGACTTACGGTCTTTCTAAGCTTCACAAGGAGGGTGTCCCTCTAAGATTAATTGTAAATAATAAAGGAAGCGTAATGCATAAAATCTCACGTTTTTTATGCAGGCAACTAATGGACTGTCAATTTTTGGCTATATTTAGTTAAAAATTCGTATGATTTTGTCAAATTGATTGATCAGCAGATACTTTCAGAAGAGGATGAGATAGCAAGTTTTGATGTTGCCTCTACGTACACAAACATTTATGTTTAAGGTGCTATTCAAACTCTGGAGGAGCATCCAGAGATAACACAAAGAATAGGGCTGAGTGTAGCTTCCATTATTAGACTTATTAGCCTATCCGTGAGTACTGCATATTTTACATTTGATGGCAAGTTACACGAACAAAAACAAGGACTAGCGACGGGATCTTGCCTGGCTCTCATCTTGGCGAACAATTATATGGCAAGATTGGAGAAGCACTTCCTGCAAGAGGCAATACTAACCCAAAAATTGTCGGTTAGATACATGGATGACTATTTTCTCATCTGGCCTCATGTTAAGGAAAGTTGAGATAGTTTCCTACTTTCATTCGACCAACGTGAAGGGAACATTAGGTTCACGATGGAAATGAAAGAGAATAAGTCCTTGCTCTTTCTGGATGTTCTCATCATTAGAGAAGAGGGTATGCTAGGAAGATATGTTTTTAGGAATCCAATATATGTTGGCTCTTTGCTTAATTTTCTTTCCAACCATAGTTGCAAAATTATGGTTGGAATTTTAAATTCAATGATTATTAGAAGTATGAGGCTTGCGGATAGCAATCATTTGACTAAAGAGTTGGAACAGGTGAAAAATTTATTCTTGGAAAATAATTATCCTTTGGACCTTATTGAGAATAATATCTCTCTACTGAGGAATGCATTTTCAGACGGAGACCATTTAGTCAAAGAGAGACAGACTGAAATCTTTTTCCATGTCCTAGTTTTGCCTTCATGCCTTCTCTCCCAAAGGATAGGCGAATTAGTAAAGAAGTGGGGCATACAAATAGTGTTCGAAGAAACCCTCACACTTTCTTCTGTTATGCCATGGTTCAGAGAGAAATATGGCCTATTATCGATATCCGGTTGCTACAAAATTGTTTGTCCATGCGGTCGATGTTATGTTGATGAGACATGTCGACCTATTCGACAAAGATTAGTAGAACACAAAAATGCTTGCAAAGAAAGGTGGATCTACCGGTCAGAATTGGCCGAACATATGGTAGAAACTGGACATGAAATAAAATGGTCTTAAGCTAGTAGGCTTGCAGATTATGGTACGTATGCGATTGCAATTGTAATTAATAGCTTATAAAATAAGTTAAATGTGAGGAACGTTGGTAGAAAGTTAAGTAGGAACTACTTATGCTTGATTGATAGAATGAAAGTAGAGACAAGTAAAGCCGAGTTTTTGTGTGGTGCTAAGGATGGCAAGACTCGCTGACGATGCCGACTACAATACAGGCGAAATGTCTGGGAATGTACCACGTCCACGGTCCGACTTTGGAAATGATTATGCATACAATGGACTCCGGACTAGGTGCGTTCATCTAAGTCTTTCTACCAAAATGACCAGGTTGCGAAAACAAGGTCAAACAACCTCTATAAATATTACTTATTGATTAAAATTTTATATTTACAATATTTTGTCAATATCTATATAATATTTATTTTATAATTAAACAATTTTCTTAACTTGAGATTTCCTTATAAGCAAGCTCATATTCAAGTAAGTCTGCTAGAAATAAAAAAATTTTCGTATATGCATTTATTGAAATTGAGTAAGTCAGAAAAGTGCATCAAATTGGAGTTCCTATGCAGTCTATATCATTGTGCGCAGAGCACATGTCTGAATTGAATTAC